TACTGCCTTAAGCAAAGGCAAATCTATACTAACATTTATATCAAACTAACCACTCACCCACTACTCATTCCAGCCTTCTCATATTGAAAGCTGATGGTTACAAACTATCAGCTTTCAGAGCATTGATTAAACATGCCCATACTTATTGCTCATCTATTTGAGACAGAGATATAGAACTTGTTTGGATTAAAGAAATATCATCATCATTGGAATAAAACAAGAATTTGATACTCAATCTCTTCTACTCCTACATACAGGCAAACAAACCTTTAAAAAAATCTTCACTAAAAACTAATTTTCAGAGTTTCTTTGTCTAATTTTATTTTGTCTTACTTATCCCTTTTTTCCAATATGAAGGTTATGATTATTTATGTACTCAATGGTGCATGGGGTTAGTTTTATATGGAACATTCTGTATATATGTATAAACGACAAAGTGAGAAGACACTTTTATTAATTAAATTGTCTATACAGTGACTCTGAAAGTCAGACACTATGATCTTAAATGTTTTTTCATATTTAACAGAAAATACTTAATACTAAATACTTGCAATTAAGTTTGGGGTTATTTTGAAAGAAAAATATCAAAACAATATATGAAAAAATAAATTTTATTTTTAATTATTATAAATTTAAATTAATGCCAAAGTAAAACTCACACATTTAAAGCTCCAATTACATTGTCCAATTTACATATTTCTCTATAGTTATGGATATATTTTAAATCATTAGTGTCCACTGAAAGTTAAGGAATAATTTTTGTTAGCAGATAATCCACCTGACTTTGTCCACATATTTTCTTTCTAACAAGTGTGTCCTCTAACATGATCAAATTATATACTCCTATATAACTTGATCACACTAGAGAACACACTTTATCAGCAGGACTCTGACTTGTTATTGCAGGTGAACCTACAAATTATCTCCTTAGTGAATAAGGTCACTAACTAAGAAAGGAAATATGTGGACAAACTCAAGTGGATCTTCTGCAAGCAAAATACACAAAGACAGCAGTGTAACATTCTACTGGTCATTACATGGGATAATATAACATGGAATAAGGTATTGAGTGGAAAAAGTTAATTTAAAATTAAAATTTGGAATTTAATGTTTATTAAAAGTGACTTCTTGTTTGTAAGTTATGTGAAATATATTCATGCTCCCAATACCAACTACAAAAAAATGGATTACAAATTCTTTTTTATACCATATTTAAGGTGGTAAATCCAATCTAAGTTCTTCTGGCCAAGTCCTGCTGGCTATCAATTCAGTAAACCCGATATTAAATTGTTACAAACATTTTTGTTTGTAACAAAAATGTTTGTAACAATTTGAGAAGTTTGTGAGCATGTATTGACTCCCTATGTAAAATGATATTGTGTTCTAAAATTCTGAAATTTCCCTATCTATAGAAGTGATCATTAAATCTGAAAACAAAAGGGATGGATCTATAGATGTGCAATAAGCTTGTTAGCTTATTGCATATCTGTAGACCCATCCCTATCTATCATCATCTAGTAAATAGTAGTAAAAAGACTGTTTTCAATACTATTTACTTGATGAACACTCCAGCATCCAGCATGATGAAAAATTTTCTTTTCTAACATCTATCAGTTCAATCAAATCTGTCATGAAATTTAAGAGGAGTTCAGTTAACAAAAATCTCCTAAGTGTAATATATACCTACAGTATATGGAAGAGAAGTCTGTTTATTTTACTATGCAGTAAAAAGAAAGTCAATCTTCTTAAGACAAAACTGAAACTAATGATACATCAATACAAACAAGATAAAATAATAAAAACAAGGGGATGGGCCAAGGGACTCCTGGCACTACCCAAAGTAAAAGGAAAAGAAACACTAGTAAATTTTCCAATAATATTTTCATAATTAAAATTCATTTTTTTTTATTTATATTGTGTCATGTTCTACTTCTATATTACTTATGAATTAGCGGTAACATAACATGCTTATTTTATTTTATTGAGTTTAAAATTTTTTTGAGTTTAGAATTTTATTGAGTTTAAAATTTTTTTTATCTGTTCAACTCTGCTCCACCTAAGACTATATCTTCAGTGTGCCACTGACTACAGGAGATAGAAAAACCATTAACAGGAGTCATTCAATAGCTCAGGGTTCCATTAATAGGTTTAAAGACATGCTGTGGAAATAAAATAACAGAAAGATCTTCAGTATTCATGATGATTGATGGGTTCTTCAAGAAGTCAAGGTCAATATTAAGATTAATGTGCCAAAACTTGCAATGAGTACCAAAAAATTTTTAAATAAAGAGCACTCAAACAATTTGAATTATTTTAAGAAAACATAATTTCAACTGAAAGATCACTTGGAAAAAACCTTTTGATAGCAAGGTGATTAGACAAAACAGGTTGAAGTTTGTGAAAATGTTTCAAATAATTATGACTATCGGAAAATGTCATTTTTCTGATGAAACTAGTTTTAACTTATTTGGATATGATTGAAAATAGTGTTATGTAGAAAGACAAAGAATGAAGTTTATTAATTTGGTAACAAGTCTAGAGACATGTGTTGACAATAGCAGTAGAACCTTGGAATATATTGATGGTAAAATGGACTATAACATATATATAAATATATTAAAAATAAATTCAAAGCTTCAAATTTTAAATATTTTCAAGACATTTGTCCTAAGCATAAAGCTTACAATATATTAAGTGATTTTTATTTAATTGTCCAAGAGTCTTTGAAACATCACCACAGTCAAAAAACTCAAATCTAATTGAGAATTTGTATTGTGATTTAGAGCAATAAAAAATTATATTTCTAACAAAGATGATTTAAAAAAGACTTTCACGAATGAATGAAAAAATATCACCCTTACACGTGAAATCCTAAAAATTATTATTTAATTTTAAAAACTTTAAATATAAAAATGTAATATAAAAACTTTAATTTTGTAAAAACAATGAAAGGTGTATGAATTTTACTTTGACATTATTTCTTCTCACTGAAAAAGAAAAATGTTTTTCTATTTATAATTAATAGAAAAAAATATATATTTATTTTTTAATTGCATAAGAGAATTGCCCATAATTTTAAAATTGTTAAACGAAGGCTTTTACTATATTTAAAAATTTTTACGTAACACTTTTTTGGAGCCTACCGTAAGACTTTCATATCGAGTCACCACATATATACAATTACGTAAAAAATGTTCATACACCCAAGGTTTTTGCAGAAAAGTAAGTTTACACATCAAATACAGAAATGTATATTACTGATTTTTATATTTACTTTTTTGTTATTCTTTTATAAAAACATTTTATTGAGTAAGACAAAAATAATGAAAACACTACACGAACTATATAAAAAAAATTGGAACAAGTGAACATTTTGTACCATAAAATGTATTCAATACATGTACTTTTAATGTTTTCTTTTATTATAATTACAACATAAGTGAACATTAATGTTCTGTTGTATAAAAAGTACCCCCTTTTAGCCTGTAAAATCTGAGGGCAATGCAACAATTGAATATGAATACTTTTAGTACATGCATATTGGACCATATATTGTTAGTTTTATTATCCTGGAAATATGTAATATTAAATTTTAATAACAACTCAAAACGTTCCATTGTGAAGTATAGATCATACTTTAGCCACTACATCAAACTTACTTTGCAAACACAGAAGTTATTGCAAATATGTATATTATGCAGATACTTTTTACACTCACGTGGACATGGAAATTGATTAATAAATACCAATCAATTTCCATAAAGTTGATCAAAATATACTATCTGGCCAAAAGTATCCGGACACCCAGTAGTATGGACTCAAAGAGTCCTGAGGCATATATTAATATGATGTTGGTCTTCCTTTTGCATCGATGACAGCCTGTACACGTCTGGGGAGACTTTCCACTAGTTTTTGATAGGTGGCCATTGGAATTGACTTCCAGGCGTCCATCACGGCTGAAGTGAGTGCTGGCAGTGAGGATGATCTATGTGGCTGACTACGTAATCTGCGTTCTAATTCATCCCAAAGGTGTTCTATGGGATTTAGATTGGGACTCTGAGAAGGCCAGTCCAGTTTTTGAACACCCATTTCATCAAACCATGCCTGCACAAGTCTCGAAGTGTGAATGGAGCAGTTAGCCTGCTGGAAGAGAAATGGGCCTTCTCCGAAATATTTCCATAGAGTTGGGAGAGCAGCATTGTCCAGAATGTCCACATACATCTTAGAGTTCATGTTTCCAACCACAGGAACTAAGGGACCCAGGCCAAACCATGAAAAGCACCCCCACACCATGATGCTGCCACCACCAAACTTTACAGTCGGCACAATACAGTCACGTAAAAAAAAAACTCGCCGGGCATCCGCCAAACCCAGACACGTCCATCGGACTGCCAGAGTGAAAAGCGAGATTCATCACTCCAAAGAACACTTTTCCACATGTCCACAGTCCAATGACGGTGAGCTTTGCACCATTGCAATTGATGCTTCGCATTCTGGGGAATAATGTTTGGCTTGTGAGCGGCTGCACAACCACAGAATCCCAGGTTTTTTAACTCTCGACGAACAGTCCTGGTGCTAATACTAATGCCTGATGACCTTTGGAACTCCTGCGTGATTTCAACCAATGAGGACATGCGACTTCGTTTCACTATCCTTTTCAGGGTTCTAAGGCTGCGCTCACTCATTTTCTTCGGCCTGCCACATGGTTTTTTTCCCACTTTCACTGCCTTGACGTTTCCACTTCACAATTACATCACTCGCAGTGGATTTTGGCTTCTGTACAATGTCTGAAGTTTCACGAACTGATTTCCCACAAAGGTGGCATCCCACTATAATGCCACGATCAAATTCACTAAGCTCTTTTGACTTACTTCTTTAGGGGTGTCCGGATACTTTTGGCCAGATAATGTATATTAAATACAAAACCAAATTATTATATAAATCGAACCACTTTATACTTAACTTAATACATAAAGTCATTACTATTAAATAATTCTTACCTATAAAAAACGGGAGAAAAACAATTTATAAAATTCTAACATCTACGTAAACAGGCTTCACGCCTCCATTATCATATGATAACTGTCATAGATATCATGTTCGCTAATTTTTTAAAAATAATTTATGTTTAATTAATAATTGAAAATGTTCAATTATTAATTAATTTTAATATAAAGAAAATATTTATAAAGTAATAATAAAGTTTTTTTCTTAAAATTAAACTAGCGGGTTGCTCGGTTGCAAAAAGTAACGAAAGCGAAGATTAAGATTATTAAATTATAGCCAATCTTACCCGTTTTCACCGAGTGAAAGAATTAGATCCCCCTCTTCCGAAACTTAGAGAATTTTTAGATGGGTCTAAAAATATGTTCGGTTTTCCGCAAAAATGCAAAAAAAAACGCATCTAAAATAGTACAGTAGAAGACGAGTTCTTCAGGGTAATCCTTAACCTTCTCTCTCTCCCCGCAGTGGGAATTTCGAAAAGTCCCTTCTTAATGTGCATTCTCATGGCATATCCTATTAAAACGCAATGAAAAACGCAAAAAACCGCATCTAAAATAGTATAATAGAAGCCGAGTTCTTCACGGTAAGCCTTAATCCTGTCCCTCTCTCCCGCCGGGGGGGGGGAATTCAAAAAATTCCTTCTTACAAGTTAATGTATATTCTCGTGACATACCCTAACTGTGTACCAAATTTCAACTCCTAACCGTTTGGGCTCTGCGCTTATTATTATCATTATTAACCCATCTCGACTATATTATGAGATAAGTAAACGTCAGAATTACGGAGCATTCGGCAGACTCGACTGTTCCAGAACCGGAGTATTTTTCTGCTGTATATTCTTTGTAGTAGATTACTTCCGAACATTTGCCTCTTGTAACGAAACTATGTAGTAGATTCAGTAAATCTACCCGAATAAAAAGAATCATTAGCGAGGTTGCGGCCGAAGTTTTCATCTTTAAAACGTGAACGTCGAACGTCGAGCGCCGCTATCTTGTAAGCGGCGCTCGACGTTCTACGTTCACGTTTTAAAGATGAAAACTTCGGCCGCAACCTCTCTATTGAATTGGCTCGTTGATTCATTGTTTAATAATAGTCGTATATAAATAAACGGACCGCTGAAAATAATTACAGTATTTATATTTATCCATTAGATTTTATATTCTAAAAATAAAATCGGGTGATACTCGATTGGTTGGAATGGACTGGATTAATGGGGTAAGAAAACGTAACACATGGGCCATCTGCCACGAGAGAATATCTCCCGAGGAAACTGGCCCAAATTTGGGTTCTAGGTATATAAAGAAAATCCAGAAAACTCATCCGTTGGTCAGGCGCGAACCCAAAACCAGTGTTGAATAATTTCATGCTGAATTAGTTACTAAATGCTTTAGTTTCTTATACTCGTTAGTCGGTGCCGCCATTGAAACTATCCTCACTTCTTCAGCCGTTTACTTACAAAAATAATCAAACACCAAACACTCGCTGAGCTTACTATTAATTTAATACTCAAACGCTTTCAACCTATTTCTAACAGGAATTTGTTCTACAACCTCAGGAATTTGTTCTACAACCGAACACAAAGCTGTTCGAGCACTCTTTAAATTTAAAAAGAAGGGTTTACAGAATTCCTTTTGAAAATCAGCAGTTAGGAGTGGCAAAGGATTATGCAGGTGTCACCACAAGAAATTTCGTAGAACGTATAAAAGAGCACATGTATGACGTTAATAAAGGACACAACAACACCGTTTTGGCAATCATGGCACAAACGGAGGGAGCAAATGTAAAATGGGATGAGGCAAGGATAATTAAACCGGTTCATTCTCCGACGATTACGTTGGGTATGGAAAAAATGGAGATATATAAGAGTAAAATAAATAACAATTGCTTAATTAAATGCCAAGGACGCTAATGCTCTTCCAGCGGCATGGAAATATGTGATGGAAAAGGAAATGGGAATTAAAAACCCTTAAACTTGTAGCGGTTGTATTTTAACTGGTTTAATGCATATTTTCGTTATATTAGTTTATTTTTAATTTTTAAAGTTTTATATATTATGTTAGTATTTAGTTAAATATTTAATATTTTACAGTTTAATGTAAAGTTTTTAAAAATATGCTTAAAATTTTTTTAAATTTAAAGAGTGTTCGAAAAGCTTTGTGTTCGATTGTAGAACAAATTCCTAAGGATGGCCTATTAGAAATAGGCCGAAAGCGTTTGAGTATTAAATTAATAGTAAGCTCAGCGAGTGTTTGGTATTTGATTATTTTTGTAAGTAAACGGCTGAGGAAGTGAGGATAGTTTCAATGGCTGCACCGGCCAACGAGTACTGTATAAGTTATACAGAAAAAATTGCATTGAAGCTTTAGTTTCGTTGGAAATTATGATATAAATTTAAAAGCCACAGTTTATATATTAAATATAATTTGCTTGTTTATGATTGAAATATATTATTCAATCTGCCATTGGAAGCGGGTTCAAACGCAGGCAGAAACATAAAAATTTTCATGAGTAGTTGGGTTTCATTTTTCGCCACTGGACCACTATAGGTCTGTGATAGACGTATTTATGATAAAGATCTATTTATGTCGACAACAAGATCAAGTGTATAAAATATTTGGCTCAGCATGGAAGTTTAAAAAAATGCAAAAATTATAATTTTAATTACTTTGAATTAAAACGAATTTTTAATATTAATACATATTAATTTTCAATTAGACAAATTAATTAATTATTTATAAATTAAAATAGGTTTAATGAAAAATTTATATTTTGATTTTTATATAAATTGTCATTTTTGTCCGCAGTAGGCGTACTGGTTTTGTTTACATCTGGCAGTCATTAGTCACGTGGCAGTTTGTTGTAATCTATATCTTTAATTAAATAGAAGGATTATTTCTTAATAACTTTTGCTATTAATTCCTAAAGTGAGCAGATTTTGTTTTAAAATCAAAATATATAAATGTAGATTTTATTTTAAAATTTTGTACATTTAATATAACGTTATGAAAATTGCATGCTTGATTCAAACAGTTCAATTTTCATGATTTCCCAATGATTTAGATTTTAAAAACTATATTCATGTCAGAATTCAATTGTACATTTATGACTTAATATTTATGTTAAAATACATTATATATATATATACATACATGAGAAACCATTTTTACCTTATTATTCAGATAAAAAACACTTCATATTATATAGTAAAAAAGCATTCATATAAAAACTAAGAGAAGCTAATTCAATACACATTCTTTTAATGCATTGAATTAAAAAAAATATATTTATGATCACTAAAGTTTAAAATAATAATTAAGTGGAAAATAAACTTTATGTTGTTTCTATATTTGTGTACAGATTATAAAAGTTTTATATAGTTCATGTTATGCTTCTTTAATGCAAAATAAAACATATATTCTATTTATATTGTGCTAATTTTAGTTACATTAAAATTGTTTTCAAATAAATTCAGAAGTTAAGAACAAAAAATTTTATTTGGAAATTTTTAACTAAAAGGATGTTTTAGGTTATGTTAAAATCATTTGAAATTTAGAAAACTTGGTTTATAACAGTGTTTTTCAACATGTGGGTCGTTGCGACCCACATGTTTGGGGGTATGGAAGCCTTACACGGGGGGTCGCGGGTAAAAGAAAAAGATAAGTGTTTGTAGGTCCTACACTACATTAAAAAAAACTACAATTTCAGCGAGAAGGCTTACCTGTTTATTTTACAGTACAATTGGTTTTTTGATCGATATTTAGGTCTCAACCATGGGAGTAGGCAGGGAGGGGCCTGGGCCAGAAAATCATAGCCGAAAAAGTGTTGAGCTGATTTGCAAAAAGAAATAGAAAGTAGAAGCTGAAAATTCTGATCCCAAAAAAAAGGTCAACGGCTCCCTGTGCCCAATGTTATAATTAAAGGAAGTTTCATACTTTATCTGTGTTAAGTTGTTGTCGATTCTTATGAAATTTTCATTTTAATCAACAATAATTTATCTCAACAGAAAGAAAATTAAATACATAGTTTTTAAAATCACTGATATAGTTCTAATATGGCCCTGGGTGGGTTGCCAGAATTGTTTAACTTGTAAAGGGGTCGCGTATTCAAGAAGGTTGAAAAACACTGGTTTATAAGTTCACTTAAAAACAAATGGCATATAACAAGAGAAATGCAATCAAATTTATATTTTTGGCATACTTATATGTATGTATAGTGAGCCTATTACTTAATTATGATGTTTAAATATTCAATAAATTTGAATGTAGGAAACTAGTTTTATTTTAAAACAATTAACATTTATGTATTTTGTTTATTTCAATTGATTCAGACTGTATTTTTTATGAATTAACAAATTTAAAAATTTTTCTCTTATATTTAAATGTTTTAAATGCATTAAAATATTTAATGAATTGTGATATACTATTTCATCAAATTATTAATTATTACCGATCTAATTTTTGTAGATTTACGAAATATTTAATAGCCTAAAAGAGAATTATCATCTTATTCTAATATTAGAGAATTATCATCTTATTCTAATGTTAGTTTCCACAAATGTATTGATTAGAACATTTAAATTTTGCAGCATATATATTATAAAATAACAGCATATATTATTTTTTCAAATAATATTTATTTCCTTCTAATAAGTCATGGCATATCAAATATTTTTATATTTCCAATTAACTACAGTCCACCCTGACTAATCTGAAGTAATTATTGAATGAAATTATTTAGATTAG